CCATCCAAATAGGCGCGGCAGGAATAGCTAGCAGCCTAGCAAGCACATTCCAATCATGGACAGGCAATCTTGCCACAACGGCAAGGTGATTTGATGATGATGAGATTTTCTTTCAACTTTGTGGGCTCATTTTATAGGATGCATTCCTAATACACCAAAATGTCTCGTCGTTGCCCTCAGTACCTACATGTCAGATAACATTGCTATTCCAGCGTCGTATTTGACAGCAAATGAATTCGACAATGTTGAACAAGGTCCCCCAGAAACCACTTCGATATATTCACCGCCTCATGATTCACGCATGAATCCAATAAACATATCTTTGCGACACAATCCGTATGGATACTATGGAGTAGATGGTTCGTCGCTAGCTAGCAGATACTTTAGTCCGCTAAGTGGATACGGATCCTTTTTGGCACCCATTGCGGGTAGTCCCGCTGGATCGGTAGATTATTTTGATAGAGAGGCACCTGAAGTATCAGAAACACGTCCACAAATGTCAAGAAGAGCATCGGCGAAGAGTGATTTACCGAAATTATACGATCATCCCGAATCTGTTCCGCTTATGAGGTCATTGACAAGGTGCGACTCGAGTCTTTTTTTTTTTTTTTTTTTTTCTTTGCTTTTGGGTGTGAATTCAGTGCAGAAAATTGTTTACAAGATAACATGTACTTTACAGGGGTTCTCAAGTATCAGCATCGATACCGGTATCAGTCATACAGGACGTCCATGCTATTCCAATGCAATATGGATCAACATTTAAACAGTCAATATTCAATTCATGTAATATACTGATCGGCATCGGTATACTCGCTCTGCCGCTGGGATTCAAACTTGCCGGTTGGGCGATTGGATTGTCGTTATTTATTTTCTGTCTAACAATCACCAACTACACTGCCAAGATTCTCGCCAAGTGTCTTGATTATGACGAAGGACTCCATACCTATGCTGACATGGGTATGTATAGGGATTTATATTTACTGTATTCCATTCCGTATACGACTATTGACATCCGTTCCGTTTTGTATAGGCGCAATTGCTTTTGGAGAGGGAGCAAGGAGTGTGATATCTCTTCTCTTCTCTTTAGAACTTTTGGCTTGCGCAACTGCATTGGTCATCCTTGTTGGAGATTCATTACACACGATCTTTCCTAGTGTCTCGATCATCACTTTTAAAATATGTGCATGGATTGTGATGTCTCCCTTGACACTTATGCCAATCAGATATCTATCATATTTCTCTCTACTTGGGATATTATCAGCATCTTACCTGGCCGTTATATTAGTCTTTGATGGTCTATCAAAGCCCGCCCAACCTGGTAGCTTATTAGATCCAATGGAAACTGATACATGGCCTCCTGCATTGGCTACTGTCCCGTTGAGCTTTGGTCTAATTATGGCTGGATTCACGGGTAAGCATAAGACAGGCAGTCGTGACAGTAAAATGCTTGCTGTTCAAACTCTTCATGGTCATGTTTGCAAGTTGTTGGC